TCAGTGGGGTTGGATTATTAGTTGGAGCCGAATTATGAAATTGCCTATTTTCCAAAATTAGTTCTGTCAATGTAACACCTTTATATAATTTTGGGAAATTGAAAATCAAATAAGAGCATTGAGGCAGAGTATATTTGTTTCAGTATGTCGCTGTTGGAGCAGTTATCCCTTTCTATATAACCACTGGAAGTGAAGGTTCTGGTGATCCATTGGAAGAAACCAATGTTTTTGAGATTTCCAGTCAAATTCCCGCCGACATTTTTACCATATCTGCTGATGGACAACTGAAGCCTGCAAAGGATCTGGATTATGCTGAATACAAAACGCATACTATTGATCTGTAAGTATGTAGCGCGTCGTGGGATTTTATTGTTTTTTCTGTTAGTTGCATTTTTCCATTTCTAGATAAATTTCATTTGTTGCGCGTCTTTTTGTGATTGTGTTTAGGTAACTTTTGAACTTATTGATAAACTCTAATATTATGAAAATCAAATAAATATAAATCGAATTGAAATTGATTAAGAAAGGAGGTGTACCTAAATTGCAAAATCTGAGTTTTATCATTCCATATTCAATTCATTACTTGATATAATTGAGATAGGGTAGGATTTATTTCGTACAAAACTGCAGATGGCAACCCATACAATTTTACCACTCCATTCTTTTTCAAAATACTATTATGCAGATTAGTAAAGAACACTGGCCCAGACAATATGGGAAATGACAAAACATTAACAGCTACAAAGACAATAACTATCAATATACAAGATTATGATAACCTACCTCCAGTATTTCAACCATGTGATGGAGCAGTTTGTCAACCTCTATATTTCTTGAACATAACTGTTGGTCAGGTGAGCAATCCAGACCCAATGATTCTTAATTTACATTCAGAAAAATTTAGCACTACTTCCATTTAGGGTATTAAATTTTAATTCCGAACACAAAAGGATACTTTAACTTTAATCTATTTTATCCTTCGCTTATTGTTTTATCTTCAATTTTGGCTTTAAATTGCATTTAGCTTTAAATTGCGCCATCAGTTTTTTTGCCGAAGCTTAATCTTGGTAATTTTGTTTCATAGTTTGACAAGGGCTAAAAGTATGGGTAATGGCATAATGTCCAGCAGTAAGTTGGTATCTTGTTAACATAAGCAAGATCTAAGTAAATTTGATAATAGAATATTAGATTAAAATGGTTTTCTTAGAAATTACAGATTGAGTCGCAGTCAAAAATTAACGTTTTTTTAGTCGATGGCGTCGTTGAATGTTGAACCGGGCCCAATTGAAGCAAAAGACGGCGACATTGGAATAAATCAGACTATTGAATATAGCTTTATCAGTGGTAAAAACATTATTTATTAGTAGAAATGAAATACAATTTTAAAAACAGTCACAGTTCCATGAGATTGTTTCAAGTACATTTACACTTTTTATATTTGTATCATTAATTTAGAAGTGATAGGATGAAACCAAATTCATTATATATATACACAGGAAATCCAGCGGATTACGCGACTTATCTTGATATTAATATCGGAACAGGAGAAGTAACGCTCAAAACACCCATCACCAGTCCTACCACATATACAATTGCTGTTAAAGCTCAACAAACCGATAGGACAGATCGCTTTGCTGTTACTTATTTACAGGTTTGCTGCGTTCCACTTCAATTCTGTATTAAATTCATTCAAAACCCTATAGTCGAACAAATAAATCTATGCACTATCTCTCAATATGTTGTGCTATCTGTTTTTTACATTCATTCAAGCATTTGTTATGTGTTAGCATTCTACAGAAAAGCCTAGGAGAACGTTATAATTCCTGATCATTTGATCTTAGTTTCAGAATCCATTTTTAGTTGATATTTTCTTTCAGGCGATAGCGACTGCGAAAGATGAACATTCACCCACTTTCACTGAAACATCTTACAGCGGTGAAGTTGTGAACGATGGAAGTGATATTTTGTTCGTGTACAAAACTGGGTCCACGGATTTACTGCAGCTTGTAGCAACGGACGGCGACGATCCAAATGTAAGTAGGCTGAATCAACTGCTTGGGGGTAGCACGTTTTGTATTATTGGAGTTGCAAATTTGTTCAAGTAAAAATGCTTTTTACTTTGGAATGTGTGATGAATATTGATATTGTCTTTTGAAAAAACTTTATTTTAGGTGATGATGCAGAAAACGTTTTTTGTTTCATTTTTAAATTGACATTTTTTACGACCCACTATACGACGACACCAGTGTTGTGCGGCTTCACAAATCTAGATGCATGTTGAGAGAGATTCTTTCCTTATCTGTTAGAGAAGCACATTATTGCACTTTAATACCATGTTATATAATATGTACAAATATCATATATATTCAGGCAACCATTATCTTCACAACAACAGATCCGACTCCTTACCAAATATCGAGTGAAGGATATATATTCGTACGAAGTTCACAGCTAAGTACAACTAGTAGTACCTCGGTGAATATTTTGATTTAAAAAACACTTTATGAATATACAAATATTAGTTAGAAGTTATTGTTGAACTGTTTGCATTCAGACCGATTTGGAAATTGTCGCTGTGAACGTATATGCTAATACCGGCTCATCTAACCGACAAAGTGCTCCTATCTCAGTGAACATCGCTGTTACAGAAGGTGATTTATTAATAATAATATCATATACATCCATGGAGAATCCTTACAATTCAAACGCATTATCATCTGCAAAATCAATCAATATGTGTTTCACTTTAATATCAGATGATATACACAATCACATTTGATTACAGAATTGGATTTACTGTATCTACAAAAAATAGTTTCTGAAAATAACAAGAAAAGTCACTGTTGTTTATTCTACCAACATTATTTGCACTGTACTAAGAAGCAGTGAATTCACTTCTCAGTGATATTTAACGCACTCTTTGTAAGCCTTTATAAATCTCCCTCTCTCTCTATATATATATATATATCTTCTACCCCGATCATGGGTGCACATAGATATTGTAGCACTTATACCGCATATATATTTATAAAATTAAGCTTGCCAATTGTGATATTGCATTGTGAGTGCAATGATATACCTGAAAGACACCAATTTCTTAATTCAAATTGATAAATATTTAAAATAAATTAAATAACGGCCGACAACAGTTACAACACAACAACCCACAGAGCCAGAAGAAACGACAGAATCTATAACGACAGAAACTTCCACAAGTAAGTGTAGTTTTTAGCAATGACATGAATTGGCAATTAATTCAGTAGCATATAAGGCCTAATATCATATTATATTTTCAGTGTTCAATATTAATTAATGACATAAAAGGTACTCGAGCTATTTAGTCAGATCGTTATGTCGACGGTGCTACCAGCTCAACCTTGCAAAGTACTGGCACTTTATGACACACGATTCATTTAGGAAATTACGGCGGGCCTACTATAGTTGCCGGTACTGTCAGCATGGCATCAAATTAAACACTTTTTGTGAAGAGAGCTCAGTATATATAAACAGAAGCACTCTCATCAGTTTAATATCATTCTAATACTGCGACTTGAAGTAGTTGTACAACACATATACGTAGATGTACAATTGATGTCAAATTCATATCATTTCTATCAGCTTCAGCCGTAGAGCCTACAACACCAGCAGCGACTACTGCTTCCACTCCAAAACATGAATCCGCCACATTCGTCGATTCGACAAGTAAGATAATTTAAGCAGTAGCCCAAATTTTCATTTTGTTTTGAATTTTGCTTGCAATAGACCAAATAAAAATATGTGTTTGTGTAGATGCTTATTCTATTCTCTAAACCAGTGGTTTCCAACTTTTTCGGTAGAGCGGAACCCCAACGAAACATTCCAGATGCTTTTGAAACCCCTGTGCAGTGGTTTAATTGTCTTATATTTTCTGAATTGTATGATAAACTATAAATATATATATATATATAAAACAAACCTAATACTTGCAAACCACAATGATATTTAGAGTGTAGCAAGTTTAATAATAGTGGCAAACCTATTTATTATTAACCGAATTGGTATTTGATTATATTTACACAATATACATATATTGATATTGACACTCGAATTTAAATGGAAACATGCGGAACACTGGACTATGTCGCGGAACTCTGTTAAGTATCATAACTTGATTGCCTGATGTTCAGAAAATATCACGCGTAATGAAAGAGGACATGCAGTTAATACAGGCTTTGTAACACAGCTTTAATGGCCACAACACCAGAACCCACTGGTGACCGTGCATTTGAACCCACGTACATTTGAACCCATATGTATATCCGCGGGTTCAATCTATATGCGGGTGCTAATTCCCATAGGTTATAGGGTAAGTATGGGTTCAAATACCCGTGAAACAAAAAAAATTCCATAGGTGTAATAGTATGCAGGTGCAATTGTCGTGGGTTCAAATTTAATGGAACCGAACCCACTACCGTACCAACAGTCGCAGTCTTCCCGACTTTGACTGACCATCAGATCGCAACGATCGCGAATGCGGTACCACCCCAAAGTTTGCAATTTTATATTTTGATGACGTCATCACACAAAAGTTTACAGTCAAAAACGAATCCCCTAGAAATTTTTGAAATAAATAAAAGTAACTTCTAGCGACAACAACAATCTTTAGCGATTGAATTCCAATTCAATTGGTCCAGTAGGTATAGAGATAATCGATTTTTTCACAACAACAAGAGAAAGAATACTAACAACAACAATATAATAATAATAATAATAAACGATCTATAGATCCACTTCGTGCTCGTTGCGATTTGGTAGTCAGTTGAAGTCGGGAAGACTACAGTACCGACACTGCTGCACTGCAAAATATTAGATACCCGTACTACTTTGTTTTGGTCATCGTGTCCATATATTTGCTCTCGTGTTTATCATAATTAAGCTTAACGTGAAAGGCATTCAGTTTTTAAACCAATGCATGCAATTTATCAGCTCAAGAATCAACTACCACACCAGTCACAAGTACCATGGAAATCAATACAGTTCAAGAAAGCACAGGTAAGAACACACTTGGTAACTTTCCACAACACTTTCAAACCAGATACGTTTCATTTCGAATTTTAAAAACGATAATTGAATGTAACTAATATTCTATAATTTGCACAGAACTTACAACGGCACCTACCTCTACCATAGATTCTACCACTCAGGCAGGTTTCACAAGTAAGACACATTCGTAGATGTGACTTAGATCTGCGTATAACAATGCGATTCTGGATGATGTTCAATTAAAAACTATCCAAAATGTTTATAATGTAAATGATGAAGGCTCGGCAAATCAATTATATGATTAAAGAAACCAAAGTTGCAAAATGTCTGAAAAAAGCACGCACGCACATATAAACTTTAACTAGACTAAGTTACCATCATTTTCCGAGCTAATTTCCGTGGTCATTAAGCTACGTAATTTTGTGATTGCTCGCAGTCAATTTCCAAGCATACGGTACTCAAAGCTGCTGATGTAAATTAATTCGATATTCACATATAAGAGTACAACTACTGCTGACTCAACATGTGATCTTGTTTACAAATTGCATCTTGATGATTTGTCATTTGCAACATCATTATTGTAACACTGTGTTTAGCGAACTATGAAACCGTGACGCTGAAAAGGTTAAAATTCCTTAAGCAATTTTGGTTAGGTCTAATTTATTGCTAACGTAGAGCAGCAACATTAATATCGCATCTCGTAATGTATTCAGTCATTCATATGATAAGTTGTATAGAAAACTGCTGAATTATTATTATTTTTTCAAATATAGCCTCCACTAGGCCTACATCAGCAGACACTTCCCCTGAAATAATGACTACTTCACCACAAACTACGGAAACTGATGTTTCAAGTAAGGATCAAAAATTTATATAAGTTATAATATAATTCCAATTTCAGGAATCAAGTAAAGCGCAATTGGGTTTGATCAAATCAATTAGTTGCCTTTATATGTTTTCGAATCGTTATTGTGAACGTGTACAAAAATTCTGTTTTGTAAACTAAACAAAGAAAATCTCGGTCCACATCACTTTCTGTTCAATGACAGCACAAATGTTACCTTCTATGCCACGAACACGATTACGAACAGAAAACAAGCCCCCGATTCGTAGATCATGTGCTTTAGAATTGTATGTTACACAAGCTTTCCGCTAATCCAATATTTGCTTGTTTTAGTTTGGGCAGCTTTACTTCAATCGTGAAATTGTAAGTTTGGACCATATTGGTATTCTATAGATCAAACATGTTCAAAAATTTATAAAATCTACGGCACGCCTTCTTGAAATAGCTGAACCATTTTTCTATTTGAATAGCCTCCAGGTCCGTAAGTGGTGCAACTGAAACGACAAGGAACATCGAGGAAACTACACGAGATGATAAAAGTAGGGCTGGTTTGCATGCTAGCACGGCTTCAATTTCTGAATTGATTTATTTTCCAGTGGCGGGGACATCCCCGCTTTCTGATTCTAGTGCAGTCCAATACTCGGGACTATACAAACTTCATGTCTGTGTCTATCACTGACACGATTCCTACAGACCCTAGCATGAAAAATAAGACCAATTTGGAAACGGTAACCACGCAGAAGGAGAGTGACCAAATGACCTAAGAAATGACATATACCTCGGGCGCAATCGTAGGTTGGATAGCGAGTCTTTGCAGGGTTCACACTCATATACTGGCGAGTAATTATGTCAAACAAACAGCACATAGTAGCCTACTGGTAAAATAATTTACCGTCAGTCTTCCTCACTCTTCAAATAACACTTTGCAAACTTCACGCAAACGAAACTGTGGTAAACGAAAGTCACCGAATAATGTACGTTTCTTCCACATTCCCTTTTGCAAGATACTATGAATCTTTTTTTCATTTTATACTCCTTGACTGCAGAAATTCAAAAATCAAATAAACATTATTGATAAAGAAATTAGTCATTAGAGAATAAAGCATGGATGGTTCAATAATTTCGCTTTCCAGCCAATTTTTTAATTCTGCATAATTTCATCAAAATACTCCAATTTTTTCATTTCAATCATTTTGAAATAATTGTTCCAATCACGACACCCCATAAAAATATTTAAACAAACGATTATTGAAAAACGCGAAAATATTGAGCTATTACGATACTTGTATGTTAATGTTGCGATAGTTACGGACATATCAATATGCTTATTTGCTTCGTCATATAGTTTTCATTTACATGTCATAGATGATGACAAAGTTTCTAACAGAATCCTCATGCATGAAAACTATTTTTTCCTGCTGAAACACCATATTATATTTTTATATTCTGCAGCAACTGATGTCAGCTAATTTGACCAATCATTATGTCACTTGCAAGGTACCGATAATATCCATTTGCGTGTAATTTATTAATATTTCAAAAAAATATATATCCATATCAAGTGAACGAAATATTTGTCATGAATGAATTTATTTTAGATGGAGTATCGATGGTTCCAGCAAGTACATTGTATGGGGTAGCGGCCGGTCTTTCAGTAACGCTTTTCATCGCTATACTCGCCATAATATATCTCATTTGGAGAAAAAATCAAGATTCTGAATTTGACGATAAAGATAACGTGGTATAGTTCTTTATTACATATGTTCAGCTTCCGGTTAGTGTACTTCAAATATAAGCATAACCTATGCCAGCTTGCTTGTTATGCCTAAAATTGAATTACAGCTGCTTGATCAATAGATAAAAGAGAATATCGGTCAGAAACCGAAGACTTATCGATCGAAAGTTAGCGGATCCCCCAAAACAGCGCTCTTACTCTATAGTGACACCTTGTGTTCATCTCTAATTAATTAATAACTCGCTAATTATACGACATAATTCATCCAAAATCGATAGGCTTCTGGTCCAACATATGATGAATGCACATGCACATCTTGAGCAGATTCAATCTCGCTTTCGTGAGATATCGCGTGCATCTAACAGACAGACAGACAAATACCTATCAACATATTTACAGTTTAAAATCGATGGGTAAGAAATAGTTGAACAAATATCACATTATTTTATTTGTTTGATACAGTCAAAGCCGGGCAATGGAACTGCGCATGTGCATGAGAATACAGTAGTCACAGAACATGAAACTTCAAAGGAAATCGGTAATTAGACAAAATAGCATTAAGTTACGGAACTAATATTGAATTTTGAGTTGAATAATTTCAAACTAGCCATGAAGTATTTTCAAAAACTTCATTAGGAGACAAGATTGCAGTAACTTATGCTTCATATTTGAATTGGTAACTATTTATAATAATTCGACATGGCTGTTTCAAATGGTCTTAGCGCAGTGCTCTATTAATATGCCCCAAACACTTACCACGTATTTTTCATAAATGCCAAGGTTACAAGATATAAGTACTCAATATATTCGCAATTCTTTTTATGAGAGAATGCCTCAAATTAAAAATCGTCATCACAGATGTGAGGCCTTCACCCAAGATGACGACCTTCACCGGCAATTCTACGGTAACTGAGCCTGCTCAGGAAAGGGAAAACATTAATGAGAAAACCGGAAGTAACCAGTTATCTGAAGCTGACCTTTTCGCAAACAAAACTGCAGCAACAAATTTTTCTGCTCCCCCAGATCCTAAATATGCAACAGGTAAAAAAAATAAAAACTAGCCCAGATGTTTTGAGTGAAAATGTGCTTTGCTTAATATATATCATATCATATCGGGCGAGCGGCCCGGACCGATTTGACTACATCCTTCCACAGCTTTCTATTGTTCATAGCATTAGGAAGATCTGCAACATGTAAACCAGTGTCTTCTGTAAGTAACTTTGTGTATGTCTTGGCTGGTCTTCCAACTTTTGTCGTTCCATGCTTAGGGATGCCAAAGCAATACGTCGCTGACTAGCATGAATTGATTTAAATATATGTTCCTCCCACAGTGGCTACGTTACCTTTCACAATTTTATGTATGCAGCAACATCATACTACTTTAAATGTTAATAGGCTCAATATTGTGAATGATCTTTATTAAAATCTTTCAGTAAACTTCTGAACCTTCATCTCAGAGCGGCTCCAAGTATTTAGCTAAATTTATTTTTCAAACTAAGATATTTTGTTGTTGATATTCCAGTAAATAAAGAAGAAAATACTGGGCACTTCGAAGAAGAACCTTTTGATTACGACAAAATAGCTCAGTCTAATGCAGCACCTAAGAATGATTTTGAAGAAGAGCTGTATACGTATGTACAATTTTCATTACAACGATGTATCTCTAGTCAGACGCCTCTAATATTTTCTATTCCTACAGAGCACACAGAAATTTTGAATCCAAGTATTACCTTCCAGCGACAACAACAATCCTTAACCATTGGAGATTTAAAAGCAGTTGGTCTAGTAGTTAATGAAAAAAAAGGATTTTCGCATAAAAGCAATAACAATAACGAGGAGAGGAAAAATACTATGAATACTAACAGCAACAAAAACTTAACAAACCGATCTATAGGTTCACTTCGTGTCCAATAATATCCAACACGCTTTTGAATAACGAATAACGAATCACGAATCATCTACGTCGAAAAAAAACAAGTTACAGTACGGGAGTTGTTAGCTCCAAAAACGACTTGGATTATGACATGCTATCAGTTTTTAGTACTTAGTAATTTAGTTTTAGTAATCTACAAAATCTACGCACTCACATATCCAAGATAGTTATATTATGTACAGCAGTCCTTTCCCCCCCTTTGTATTGTGGCCCACTTTCACGGAAAGTTTTACTTCGCAGACCCCGTGAAACCTGAGCTTAGGTAATGCCTAAAACCACTAGCATCCAGTTTTTGCCGTTTAAAAGATAATTTATGTCTTTGGAAGAATGACAAATCTTTTTCGGTATGCTCTGGGTGTGTCTGCTGCAGTTGACGCTTAAGCTTTGATGGCTTCATTGCTGAGGACAGCATAACATAAAACGCATTGCGGTTTTTCCTTGCCATCCTCTGATACTGGGGTGAACCCAGTCGTGGGATTCAGCCGGTTCGCACCGGTTCTATAGAACCGTCTCGCGGAATTTTATGAGATCAGCAAACCGGACCGGACCTCCGGTTGAGAACCACTATAGATAGTGCAGCATATTTTTAGGTTTCTATAAAATCGTTGCAATGTTTTTTCAGGGCCACGTCAGCTTGGGTATAGAAGATTACGAATAATAACCAACGTAATGTGAAGCACGCTGATGACTTTCCTCCATGACCAGATTGAAATGAAGAATACGAGAACGATAACTATACCGCGCTTTGATTAGTTCGTATTTTGGCCTCTTTCATATAGTTTTTGCTCGTTCCATTACTTATTCTTGTACGCGTAGTATACAAGTAATTATCCCATTTTAATATTTAGCAATAGCGTGCCTTTACTGAGGACATATTTTATATCGCCTACATTCAGTCCACTTAATAATATGCTTTTATTTTGCTTCAAAATATTTTTGACAAGGCACGCAGTTAACCTATATATAGGTAATGTCCGCTTCACTTCATATCAATTTATAAAACAATATCTGTCCCCACCGGGATCTTCCCGAGAATGGTTTTATTTGACTTCTAATTTGCCAGGATTTTTAGTGCAATAATTAGCACTAATCTCTAAATTAATATATATAAAAGTTCCTTGCGTTTTGGAATGATTTTGTAAAGTAGGCCAGCATTAATACAATATCGAATAAGTTCATATTTCAGAATCAACTCGATTTCAAGCATGCATAATTCATACTAATAAACAATGCACCTCCACTTCTACTTACCTATAGTACAAATTTACTTTGTTTTTAAAGCATCCATGCATCCATGATCACTTTTTACTTAATACGATCTGTTGTTTGTATGTATATTTTACGCTCGCTATCTTGTATTGTTTATTTTCATCCATCCATTCTGGAGTTTATTTGCTTTATTATGTATTTTTACATGTTATAATACTACATTCTTTGTACATGCTCGTGAGGACAGAATCTCAAAAACGAATTCATTGTTGATAGAATAATTTAATCGAGATAATTTTGATTCATGTAGATAATTCATGTATCTATTCTATACTGTTGAATTCATGTCTCTAATTAAAGTCACTGGTTATACGAGTCTAGGTCCCAAGTGACGCCGCGTCACAGAAATTCTGATTCTAAAGTCAAGTCGCATCTGTTCCTAGTCAGTCCATATGTCCACATATCAATGGACAAGGAGCGGGGCAGTCCGTGTGTATCGTTGATTTTTTTTTTAATATTTTTCAAAATTATTCTTATAGCGTCTTTCGTATGTTTAATAAAACTAAAAATCCTCTGCCTAAAATATCATGCCAATGCTACCAAAATAAAGAATTCCGTTATATCCGTCCGGCAAGTGCAATTCATTCCAACAACCCATCGCCGAGGACACAAAGACACACACTAACGTGTAACTGTTATCTCATAGGAATACTCTTTTCTACAACGCTCGTTTCCAGTTAAAACGCAAATTATCAATAGTAATGTAAAACAAAATTGTCAGCTTTTGTACAAAAACACACGATCAAAGTTGATTAATAATGAAGAGCTTTCGTCAGACGCATGTTCATGAATTCTCCAGTAGTCATGCCTTCGTATTCTGTCAGGAAATCTTTATTATTCAAATCGTCGTCAAACTCAAATGATTTAAACGGGAAGTCTTTGTTTGAGTGGCCAAAATAAACAGTTGTTTGTCTTGTCAGGCGTTGCTTGTTCGGATCAGTGGGCGGCACCACACGGTGAACCTAAAACAATAATCACGGTTATTGTTGGGTTGTAAACCAGAAAATGTTTTAGGACAAACACTAATCATATAGCCTATCCCCATACGTTAAAGTACGGGTGAAAATAGGGAATTCGATGAGCTTAAAGATAAATATTTCGCTTGGTTAATAATCTTCAAATTCAATTCATAACTTACTCTTGCAGTTAGTCTTCCTCCAGTGAACTTTTGAAGAGTTTCCCCTACGTTAAGAATGATAGTTCCTGGAATAGGAGTGACGTCAGCAAATTCTCCGTTTGATTGTTTCATCTTAAATAAATTAAATATACGAGGAATTGGCTTGCTGTAGATTGATATTTAAACAATGGTAAAGTACAAACTGTTTTGTGATGTAGCCTCAACACACACATACGGTAACTTCAATATTGCGATAATTGTTTTTTATTATTTTCATTTGCGATTTCAATAATAGCCTACCTGAAGTCCACCAATATTATCTTGGAAGAGAAGAATCATAGTGCCCCAGTCCACATGAGGTGCTAATCTGAAACGATTTGCACTCACGATGTCTTCATATACAGGTGGATAGCTGGTTACTCCCAACTGTGTTAAATTTCCTTTTTTATTCATCAAAGAGTGACAATTGCAGAAACTATCTAAGTCCTGTTCAAATCAAAAGAATAATGTTATAACTTCTAAAAATCAAACATATATAGAAAAACTCGTGATATACTACATATCTTTTGCACTACCTGAATTTCATTAACGCACATTACTGGAAAAGACTATCTGACAAACGTCGCATTAGAATCACTACCGTAAGTATAAAAGAAAGCTGGCTCCTCATCCGGTGAATATAATCGTGGTTTTGAATAAAATTAAAGTAAGAAATGTGTTCCGTTGCGTTTTGTTAGCAACTGACAGCTCAGCATACCACAAAAGAAACTATTGCGCAGTTCAAATTTCCCTTTTCCGTTATTGCTGGTATGGAAGTTGTTTTCTTGTTCATTCTAGGTAAGTGAATTTTTCTTTTCGACCAATGCAATTTAGCTACGAAATTCAATTCAAAACACTTCCGCGTTTCCAAATCTATGGACCTTTCCCCGACCTTTGACCCCCGGAAAATTCTTCCTATACTTCACCATTGCAAAATTTTCGGGGCTATTTCAAGAGTGCTTTTGCGAGTTGGCGCCTGTGAAATGGGTTATGTGTTTCAAACCATCATTATGATTCATAGCATACAACAATCTGTTTTTTAAAAAGTACCGTTAAAGAATTTTAGCCTAGTCTATCACAGCTATTTCTACACTAATTTTTATTACTGCAATTAAATTAAAACTCCTAGGAAGACAGGGTGACCATTGAATTATCTGATTTACATTTAAGTTTCCAAAACACAACTGAAAACTAACGAATAGTTTTCAAAAATGCGAAAACGAGGTAATGTTTACGATCACGCTTGAAAATCTGTCTGAGTGAGAAAAGTGTCTGAGCGGATGCGAAAAGGGGACATTGTTACGTCACTTTTTGCAATTTGCTGATTGACCAATGTCACGAAGTAAACAAGGAAGTCGATGCTCGGGGAAAGGTCCATTGCGTTACTGTTGAACACAAATCTGAAATACCGGTAGGATGCCGGTGCGGCGTAATGACGTAATAGGTGTTTTTGTACCATACCTCATCCTAACGGGTACTGGTACGGAAACTGTCTATAGCCTACATATTCTATACTAATTAAAGTGATAATAAAGTAATGTTGAGGTATAATAATGAGCTTAGTTTACACAAATAATTTGCTAGACAAAATTTAAACGCGATTATCATATTGATTGGGTAAAAAAAAATAACTAGTTGCAGTGTCGTCATTGAATGCATCGTGTGGCCTAAGTAAGTAACGTTAAAATAGCTGAATGGTCAGTCAACGATCTGACTAAAATTTGCTGGAGTACCTTCTAACAAGTTCTAAGTAATTTAATATTTGAAGTTTTGTTCTCGCTTATGAGCAATAGTAGAATATGTTCAACAAAAAACAACTCGTTAATATCTGCAACAACTATACAGAACTCCAATCAAAAATAGTGTCCGATTTCAATACTTTTTAATATTTGTATTATTGGAGATGAAATTTTATGTAGTGTGTTTGTAAGTCGTGACATATTAGCTCCTGCGAAAATAATTGTAGCTGCTAAATAGTCTGTGCTACCGCGTGGGTCAGCTTCAATGGGCAGCTAAATCATGCCTAATAACGCTTAACTTATATCAACTTTCACACTACGGCCTGTGACAACACGGAGTGAAGGTACCACAGTAATTAGACACGAAGTAGACCTATGGATCGTTTTTCTGGATTTTTTTAAACTTACACAAAATTTTACTGAAGCAACAACAGTATTAAGAAAGCTTTGATTTGTCTTTGCATTGAAATATTGGATTATTACGATTATTTTTAAAATTTAATTTACATTTCAACCGCACATGTCTGTTCATATGAACATAGAATCTACCAACCTTAACCCGCATAGCTAGGCCAAGACTTCTTAGTATTCTCAACACAAGGAACTTGCATGACTCAGCTAATTCTTCGTACTTCTTCTTCAATGTTAAATTCGGCCATTTTGTTTCCTCGTCATCAAACGCATCGCCCGTGACACGAAATCCTTCAACAAAATCAAAGTCCTTTTTCGAATTTACCCTTGAAAAAAATTATCGTTACTCGTTAGAATACAAAGGATATCAAATAGAATTTCAATTTTGGAGAAGCAAAATGGTAATGAAGTATCTGTGTATTCAGCTTGGTTCCCAAACAAACATTTCACCACAAAAATAAATATAATTTCCATTTATTAACTCATGATTACTGAAAGAGGATAATCTCCTAGGGTTACATTCAACATTTTGTCTGTATTATTTTTTATCTTCATTAGTTTTGACGGATTGTCATTTATCGTTAATTACTCACTTTAAAGCTCCAACTGGATCGTAGCCGAAAGAATTCTTGCCAACGTAAGATTTCTTTTTTTCTTCAAGTGGCAACGCAAAGAAGTTTGCTGCTGCTTTATACACGCCATCAATTCTTTCTCTATCGTAGAAAAGAAAATTAAGGATATATGCCTCTGATAGAAACCACATTATGTGTCTTTAATATAAAAGCTAAACGCAATTTGTTTTGGGTAAAGATGAAAAGGTATGGGTATGTTCGATTTTTTGTTTGTCTTGACTTATCGCGTGATTATATCCTGCTTCACATCGATGTTGGATTTGGCTTAACCTAACCAAATTCAATCTGATATGGATATAGTTGTACATAAAACACTTCAATTGACGACACATGGTAAATTATAAAAGAAACGCTGAGCGCCATAAAAAGAGGTCTCTTTCATCCGTTTTGTATTCAGTAAGGTGATACTTTCAGATTATTGCTTTTTGCCCGTTCCAAGTTTTGTACTTAAATTTTTATTTATTTTTTTTGTGTGTGGAAACACAAATAGTCGGGTATTTCAGAAAATTCGTTTTTCTGGTTCACTTCAAAACAAAAGCTATTAATGAAATAATAACACAAATACTCACTGCGTAATTCCATGGTTTTTCAAGTATACAAAACCACTTGATGTGAATCCTTCATAAAGATTTTTGCCTGTTACCATACGCATTTCATCGTTGATTTCATCCTCATTTTTATTCAGACTACACTTTGAAAAATCGATTACAGGAGCAATGGTCGACATTGTAAATTTCTATCAATTTATTCAGAGCATATCGCAGACGGAGTATTTACACCCACCCTTTTTTCGTTGTCCATCCGGTTACGTTATTTAGAATATAAAGGAAATAGTCAGTCTGACACATACATCGATTAAGGTATAGACAAATCTGAGTGATTTATATATGTTGATTGATTAAATCGATCGATTGTGATTCATGAACATTCTGTGATTGTATATTACGTGAAACTTATTGAATGAAATAAATGAGAAGTTGAACTATATCGTGACCAAGACAACATTGATTGAACACGTACAAACTCAGCGCCTTTGAGATTCGTCTATATATATAATGATAAGAACGGAACCATCCATCAATTTACTTTTAGATTAAAAAACGTTTGCTTAGTTTGCGTATAACCGGAAAACTTGTATTCAGATCACGATAGGACGTGATCTAAATGAGTAGTATATGATGTTGTCTACGTTTCCGAAATGAGCCGCAATGAGCCACATAGATGAGCCACATAAGCCACATAAATGAGCCACATAAGCCACATAATCCACATTATTCCACAAACTAACGGACAGTTCACCGTGACAGGACATGTCCAGCTTTTCGGTCAGGTATTAGAGTTTTCGCGAATTGGGAAATAGAAAAATCGCGCTATTGTTTAAATTTTCCCCTTTAATTGATAAGACTTCGAGGAATTGGGGAGAGAGAAAAATCGCGCTATTGTTTAAGTTTCGCCCTTTAATTGATAGGACTTCGAGGAATTGGGGAGAGAGAAAAATCGCGCTATTGTTTAAAAAGTTTCGCCCTTTAATTGATAGGACTTCGAGGAATTGGGGAGAGAGAAAAATCGCGCTATTGTTTAAATTTCGCCCTTTAAGTTATAAGACTTCGAGGAATTGGGGAGAGAGAAAAATCGCGCTATTGTTTAAATTTCGCCCTTTAAGTTATAAGACTTCGTCAAACTGGGGAGAGAGAAAAAGTCGCGTTATTGTTTTAACGGGGTGGAATCGCTTGTCGCGTTATTGTTTAAACGGTGGTGGAATCGCTTGTATAATAAATAAGACTTCGGCAAACTAGGGAAAGAGAAAAATCGCGTTATTACTTTATGGGGGTCGTATTTTCGCTTTCTTGATCGATAAGACCTCAGCGTGATGAAGTGAGTTACCGTGAATAATTAGATAATAAAACTGCGTGAGAAGATCTGCGCAATCGTTTTGTTTAAATGGAATAGTGTCTTATTATAAACGAAGAAAGAGTTTGTTGAAACTTGATCAATGCGAGAAAAACATCATGATTGCTTGACTATGATAAACTGTTTACTTTGAAATATTCTGACGCTTATGAAGAAAATATCAGCTATGTTTGTAAGTGAATCTGCGCAATCGTTTTCTTTTAATGGCTTGTGCCGTAAACAACAAGACTTGCTGTGTAGCGCTGTTACACTGTTTGTTTTTATAAAGAATGACGTAAAAGAGAGAAAAATTATTTACAGAAAAATCTAGTTATTTTTACAATTAAACAAAATCGGAAATATATCACTCCGTGAATTTATAGGAAAATTAACTAAACAGTGGTGATACAGTAAAATGAAACGAAACCTTAAACAAAGGAATGAAATATGAAATGCGAGTGGGATTGCTGAAAATTTGACGATGAATTTTATCCGGTTATTTGTTAACGTATGCTTTTTTACTAAATATCTCATTAAATATGATGAAATAGATTCAGCGTGACAAGTAAACCCCCCATCTGGTGCTTATTTTTTATTGGAATATTGTTGCGATTATGAATAAAAAGTCGGTTAGGTTTTTAAGGTTTGCAGCTTTAATAACAAAACTAACGCAGTATCCACCATTTCGTGTAGTATCAGACCACATAATTTATTTTATACCACTGGTCGTACTATGCGGGGCGGCTTTGTAGTTTTAACATATTGAGACTGTTGTGTGAAAGGTTTCTCAAAATGAAGAAAATGTTTTATGCTTTGGCGTGCGATTAATTTTAATGAGTGAAGTAGAAAAGTTTAAATGTTAATTGAACTGCGGTAATTCTTGCGATGGTATCTAATTATACACCATAAAAATTCAGCATGCGTTAATTTATTAGCGTGTGCATATTTATTAACAAATCTTCAAATGTGGCAAATATTGAATGCTCAGTAATGAACTAATAAAATTATTTTGTTAATACTTCTGACATTTGATACATTGGTATAAATTTTATGTAAAGATAAAATGTTGATTAAGCAGTTGGAAAGATTATTTTTTTGCTTGGATTTTGTTTAGTCGACCAGAATGAAAGTTGTATTGCCCGTAACCGATTTGCTGAAAATTGACAGAGCTGTTTCTATTTTAGTATTTTATTATGATAGAATTGATTTGGCGCCGTATTACACTCGGCAGAGATCAGCAGAGGCAGTAGCTACGTATTATGCATATGGGTGTAACCATGTTACGATACTAAAATATCGCTATGGCCATGATAAAAATTGCAAAGATTTTGTTTTCATTCATGAAACATGTATACAAACAAATAGCGGTTACACACATGTATATATGTCCCGAAAGTTGATATATTCCAAACAGATTGTGAGACACATGACTTTATTCAAGTATCTTACTTACACGTAACAATATACATATTGGGTTTTTTAAATCATTTCTTATTAAAACATAACTCAGATTATTCAACCGTGATTAATTCGATGACGAATATGATTATCATGTGACAATAATGTAGTATCGCGAAATTATTTTGCACTTAGATTGATGTGAGTGAGAAGGATTCTGATATTTAGAGTATAGAGTTGTTTTAGTATATGAGCTGTTCAGTTCTTAAATTTTGTTTCATATGCATGAAAGAGAAGTTACGTAGAGATTTCGCATTGTCGCAAACGATTAAACAAAATCGGAAATATATCAATCCGTGAATTTATATGAAAATTAACTAAACAGTGGTGATACTGTAAAATGAAAATAAACTTTAAACAAAGGAATGAAAAATGAACCGCGAGTGGGATTGCTGAAATTTTGACGATAAATTTTATCCGGTTATTTGTTAACGTATGCTTTTTTACTAAATATCTCGTTAAATATGAAGGATATTTAATTATTGTTAAAAGATTGAAGAAGAATTTGAATTATTTTATTTTACTTGAATGTTTTGGTATAATATTAAATTGTTAGATTTTATGTTAATGTGGAAAATAAATAAATACTTCTTGAAAATTCATATTGGAAATACGAAGTGACTTGTGGTGCAGCTTTCGTATATCTGAAGAGAAATATTGTTGTCTACTGATTTGTTTTTATAAGTTGATGAAGTTGTTTATGAGGTGTTAAGAAGCGGTATGAAGGTAAATCGTTTGCTTTGTAGCGTATAATTGCTACACATTACATGTTGCATTGGAGTTGCGGAGTTGTTCATGGCGGGCCTCTAAACTCGGTATGGGGTATTTCATGATTTATATTTAGCATAACGGTTTGTACATAAAAAATTACTCAACTGCGTCCAAAATGTAGAGCCACGAGATTATTTGTGACGTCGCTTATGGGAGATATGATCGTAATTTCATGTATTCGCGCCTGGACGTTGAAGTGCATTTTTAATAAATTTTGATGAAATTGGTCATGGCAGCGTTTATGAACTCTATAAGGGAATTTCAGCGTTTATGTTCAAACATATTGTTGCGGTGCATTGAAGGTTATTCTGTTATAATAAAGTTAATTTTGTAATTTCGTGATGTTGTGTGTAGCGTTGTTTTTAAAAATACATTGTAACGCGTTTACCATCTACCGGTAATTCAATAAAGAAGATCAAATCAGAATAAGGTTGAGATGTTTAATATTTTGGTATTATGCTCAGATTAGATTACTGATAACATTTTACCCAATTTAGGTGAATGTAAAACAACTAATTTTATACGTTTCATCTCCGCATAATAAAATTGAATTTTTCCAACTTGTTGCGGTAACAAATACGGTTGCTTTCAGTAAACATCATTGAAAAGTAAAATAAAATCAGTACATGGTAAACACTTTTAAATCGTAATTCTAAATATAGCAGATACTGTTATTTATATTGTAGTATAAGGCCTTTATCGTTGTCAGAGAACATTTATCAACTATAACTATTTTAAAATTAAATTTAATATACATGAATGATTGGATGATTAAAAATTTGTAACGGGTTTAATGATCCGTAATGATACACATTTCATTCTCTAAAACGATTCATGCCGCCCAAGTGCGTAGTTCTAAATTTTGAATTTTCAATGTGGATCGATTATTTGTCATGTATCTTTATTTTTGAGTCAATATGACATTGTATTGATATTTAATTCATAATGTCATTGTTGCTTCATATTGAAATGCATTTTTGATATATGTTTACCAGTTAATTACTCGGTTGTTGTAATGTATGATTATTTACGGTTAATATTATTTTTTAATAAATGTATATTCGCACGTTATTTCTGTAAAGTAAAATGACCAAATGATTTCAAATAAACTTTTTGTGATAAAAAAATGTAAAATGCTGAAAGTGCAGTTAATATCTCGGAGTAATGGAAATATTTCAAATGTTTCTGTTTTAATGTGTGATTATTTACGGTTAATATTATTTTTTATTAAATGTATATTCGCACGTTATTTCTGTAAAGTAAAATGATTATGAATTACTAAATGATTTCAAATAAACTTTTTGTGATAAAAAAATGTAAAATGCTGAAAGTGTAGGCAATTTATCAGTTAATATTTCGGAGTAATGGAAATATTTCAAATGTTTCTGTTGTAGTGTATGATTATTAATATTATTTTTCATAGAATGAATGCTCGCACGTTATATCTGTAAAGTAAAATAATTATACATTACTAAAAAGCTTTCATAACAAACTGTTTTTTTTGATAACAAAATGTAAAATGCTGAACATGTAGGTAACTTATCAGTTAATATCTCGGAGTAATAGAAATACTTCAAATGTTTCTGTTGTAATGTATGAATATTTACGGTTGATAATATTTTTATAGAATGAATACCAGCACGTTATTTCTGTAAAGTAAAATAAGCATACATTGCCAAAAAGCTTTTACAATGAACTTT